ACCGCACCTGCGTAACCGCAGAAGCGGTCAAGTGGCCGCAGGTGCGAGAGGTCGGGCTGGGCAGTGTTCTTTAAAGAACGAAATTGGTTCATTTTCTCTCATTTTTTCAGTTGGGTTGGACGATTTTGGAGCCTTTGAAGAGAGAGATTTCATCATCAATCATGAGGTAAGTTAATCCCACCTCTTGTAAGTTAAATACATGGTTTTATTGCGGATTAAACTATAGAAATTTGTAGAAACTTGGGGTTTGAGGGAAAACCTAGAAAATTCGTATTCCTGGATTTTGACCACGATTTTGGGCATGAAATTGAGAGTAAATCATATATTTGAGTTCGTGAGGTTATGGGTAAATGTTATCTTCAAAAAAATTCGGAATCCGGACGCGTGGGCCCGAGGGCGATTTTGTCAACTTTTCGATCGGGGTTAGGAATTGTTATAAATTGGATTATTATGAGTAATTGAGCATATATTAATGGATTTGCATAATTATTGACTAGTTTTGGAGCGTTGTGCATCGAGTTGAGTCTTCAGAAGGGCGAGGATTGCCGGTTATGGAACTTCGGAGCAAGGTGAGTCTCCTTTCTAACCTTGTAAGAGGGAATTGTCCCCATAGGTGAGTTAATTGGTTATGTGCTCCTATTTGTGGGGGGCTACGTACGCACGAGGTGACGAGAGTCCGTGCGTAGTTACTATTATGCTTAAGTCCGGGTAGTCTAGGACCCAAAAGCATATTTTACTTGTAATATTTGAAATCTTGTTGTCAAATTGAAATGCTTAAAACATATTGAAATGTATAAAAGGATTTGTAAAAACTAAACATTTGTTTCTTGACTTTTAAAGAAAAGAGAGTTTTTACTTTTATTGGATGATTGATTCCCTGACGGTTCCTTGATTGACTGTTTGGAGTGTTTATTTAAATTTGACCGCGTCGCATGTATAATTCGCGAGCGGGGTAATAGATGCACCTATGGTTCGCGCCATTCGACCCTCTAACAGTGCACAGTTTAAATATTGTTTGATCGGGCCGTACGTCCTCGGCATGATTTGCGCATGCTTGCATTGTTGCCTTGTATTTTACTAAAATTGATATTGCTTCTTCCCGTCTTGAGAACATATGGATAAATAACGAAAAAGGAAATTAGAAATTTTCATACAAAAGAAAGGATTGTTTACTTGCTTCATTCTATTGAATTACATTCATGTTTATATAAACCCTCGACTTGTTATATTATTGATGTACCATCATTGGACCACTAGTAAGTGTCAAAGTCGACCTCTCGTATCTACTTCTTCGAGATTAGGCGGGATACTTACTGAGTACACATTGTTTTCGTACTCATGCTACACTTGTTGTGCATTTTTGTTGCACAGGCACCTGCATCTCTAGCGGCCTAGTGGGCATAGCAGCATGGTTGACACGGAGAGGTGAGCTGCACTTCTCGAGACGACCCGCAGCCAGCAGAGTCTCTTTCAGATTTCCCTATTTATTATTTGTCCTATTTGAATTCCCGGACAGTTGTTGTATTATTTTGTTTCCTAGAGATAGCTCATGAACTAATTCCACCTATATGAATATTGAAGTGGTGCCGCTTCTAGCAAGATTTAAAGGGTTGATCTTGTAAATATTCATGAATACAGGATGAGCACATGGCCGTAAACGTGCTAAAGCGAATACATTTTCTAAGCTACTAGATAACGCTGTGTGTGTGGTACTTTCGGTTTTGGCACAAGGAGTTGTGGTTCAAATCTTAAGATACCAATAACTTCGTCAAAACTTTAAAATACTTACACTAAAGGAAAGTTCAAATCTGTATAAGATACTTCCTATTATTCACAAGTGTTATGAAGTGAACTAACAAACTAGTGGGGGATTGTAAGTAGTTTGTTATTGACAAGTTGGAAGTGGGATTCTTCCCACATCGGAAGAGAGAAGTTCCCTTTGGAGCTTTTTAAGCAATTGTCCCTTTTATGTCTTTGATTTAGGACACATACTTTTAAGTGTGTGCAATTAAGTACACTATATATTTATATATTATATAATCAAAGACTTGGACTTGGGGCGCGGGCCGGGTCGGATCCTAAAGTTAATTATTTTATTTTGTGACAGAAAAATCAAATTTATTTGAATTTTAAATTCAAAATTCGAATAAATAGTTATGTCTGTTATGAAAGGGTCCAACCAAATATGTCTGTTTGTGAAACAAGACATCTTTTCTGAAAGGGTCTGTTGGTTGCCTATAAATACACAAGAATTCGAACGAAGTGGTATAGAAAATCACAAGTGTTATTGCAGGCTTTGTTGTATCCTGAAGAGAATCGTTTTGTATTTCCCTAAATTAGTATACAGGCGATAACTCTTCAAGGACAGTCGATTTTCACGCCTCAAAGCCATTTTTGTTTATTATTTTCTAACAATTAAAATTTAATTTCTTAGGGATTAGCAAAAGTGTTAATGATGCATCACATGTGACATGGGGTGGATGTTGCTCTACTTTTTGGAAAAGAACAACTTCATGTTTGACGAATACAGCTCAACTTTTTTCACTTTAATCAATCAATATCTATTTAGGTGGGGCTAACATACCAGTCACTTTTGTCACATGATTTATTGTCTTAATTCTACTTCATTTATTCTTTGCCCTTTTACCTTTATAAAATCAATCTTAATTAGTTACATCTATATCAATATGAACAGGATGTAATAGGGGGTTGTGAAATTAGGCTCCCTTAATGATTGTCACACTCACCTGTTTGGACTGAAGCAGGCAGGCTTAGAAAGTATCAAATATACCCATTACCTAATATTATGATCAGAAAGATGATAGAAACATGTTGAATGGTAATCCATGTCTAATTTCTTCTTTTTCTCACGAAATCTTTAATTAAGAATCTCATGGTAATAACTCACGTCAATATGTCTTTCTGTAAAAGAAAAATTATATAGACCACAGAAGAGTCAGAGATTTGGACATGCATAGCATTTGCAAATACGCATAGTTTTTTTGTTTTTTTTTTTTTTTGCAAAATACTATAAATTACTTGTAACTTTCATAGAAAAAAAAAAGATAATGTTGATGAGTAAAAGGAAGGTGTAGAAGTAGGCAAGTCATAAAGAAAGGAAGGTGTAAAAGGCACCCATTTGTTTATCCTTAGAAAAGGCATCTATCATCTGTTTATATTTGGTGTTTATATCAAACAAAATATGTAAGTGTATATGATAATACTAAAAATAACCAACAAGAAGATTTTTTTATTAGATTGTCTTAGGTATTAATGGTTGGTGGTAGGGAGTGACGAAATGAAAGGTGTAAAAAGCACCCATAAACAATTGAATGTAAGACACGTATTTCCTACCTAAACTTTTTATCACTTACAGCTTGTTTGGATGGTTGTTCCCCGTTGTATCGTATTGTATTGTTATCTCAAAATAATATTTATTTTGATTGTTTCATTAAAATTGGTTGTATTGTATTGTTAAATCCATTGTTCCGGAACAATGAAAAGTCCCCTTTTTTGAAACAACCGATTTGATATGGTGGGATTGTTTCCTATTTTTCTTTCCAATTATGTCCTAACTTATTACTCCACAATTCTATTTCACCCTTTACCTTTTTTTCTATTTTAACTCCAAATTTCCAAGCTATAACCTACTTTGTTTATTTCCAGAACTTCTATCGCCAACATTAAAGGTGTTTTGCCGCCTTCAGTTTTATTTTTTTCTCCTAATCTGTTTTTAACTCAATTCTAATTAGTTGTGCTCTTTTGTTTTGCCTTCTTCTGTCTCGCTCCTTTGTTCTGCTTTCTTAAGGTGTTTTGCCTTCTTCTATTTTGTTTTTTTTAATTATTTTTATGCATAATTTTTTATAAATTTAATATTTAAATAATTGAGGGCATTTTAGTAAACTTATCAGTTACAGTACAGTAAGATACAGTCAAACCAAACAGCAAAATATTATTTAACAATAACAAGCAATACGATCTATCCAAACATTGTATTTATAAAACAATACGATACAATACGATACGATACAATACAATACATTATTAAACGATGCGGAACAATGATTCAAACAAAATGTTAATCATGATTAAGGTGATATGTATTTTTATTTCAGTTTTGACTATTATGATTAAATTATTTAGTTTAATATAAATACGAGAGCCTGAAAATAATTTCCTCTCATTATCCCATCGATAATCTTATCTGATGCAATTTTAGAATCTTATCTGATAAAGTGGAGGGCCACATTTGCCAGTGTCTTGATAATAAAGTTCATCGAAAAGTTTAAATACTGTGCTAAAAGGGAGAAATGGAGCTTAATTTGCATTGTCAAACTACTTCAGCCAGAAAATTTTCTAATGTCAAGTTCAACTAGCTCTGATTCAGTATTAAGCTGTGAATGCGAAAGTCACCACTTTTAAACATTTACATATACTTTCAGCTCTAACTACAGAATCAATATATAAGACCAAAGTACAGAGAAATCTATAGTACTCAAGTGGATAAATTGAGAAAATTATGCTGTATGTAAAACTTTATGTAATGGAAACATCACCAAATTTTCTACCCAACTTGCCAAATTGTTTTACTGGTGAAGTCCTGATATTAAGAGGAGCAATCTGCCATTCTTCATGCTTCAACAGGGAACCAAGGTTGTTCACCAGCCCATACTGATTTCTGTTATTCTGGGGTATAACTTTAGGAACATACGGCCCGTGACTTTAGGAACATACCCTTTCGTTACTTGTTGATTATAATGCTCTAAGAAAAAGATGAAAATTACTGAGGAGCTAAAGGTGATCGCTGTTCCTTAGAGCAACCATCATCAAAATTCTGAGAGTAGCTGTAAGGATCATAGCTAAAGCGGACTGAGCTTCTCCGCCATGACAAAAGTTGCCTCCACTGTGACTTTAACCTCCAATATAACTGCTTAGCAATATAAAGTCCTTGAAAAAAATTAACGGGTGCTCTTCTTTCAATACTGACCGGTGTAACAGCAGAGCTGCAGTGTGCGACTCTCCATCCCTGACACTTGAACATATGGAGCTTCTTCGAGCTTCCCATCATCAAGATTTTCAACCTTCACCTGCTTACCACACAAGAAAGTAGAGGGAACTTCAAAACCACATTTTTAATGGAATGTGTAAAGAGGAATATACTATATGTGCTTTTCAAGTGTATGTATATATTCCATTCGTAGGCATCAGCTTCGTTAGTATTGGATGTCCTTTTCACATAGGCAGTGAGTGGAAATGGCCCTCACTCATACCCAACGCGACAACTGTGTGTTGCTTCTTGTAGGTCCTGATGGTCCAACCTTCAAAACAGAACAAAAGGCTCTTCCTATTGATGTAACATCATTCTTTTGTAACTAATTAAGGATTAGATAGAATCTTAACAACACAACACATTCATTGTCCGTCATATTTTCTTTCCCAAAATCATTATGAAAGGAGGAGCTCGTTATGATGTCAAGGGAAGGCCTACCTCAGCACTTATGCGGAAAGAGTCTCCCCATCCTTCCCCCGGGACTGAAAGGACTAATCTCCAAACAAGCAAAAGAAGAACAGATTAAAAGGGGATACGTGTCACAGAATGCTTCGGCATCTTTCCACAGGGTCTCTCTTTGTTTTCCACTTTTTCTATTGCTTTAAGGAGTTCCGTTTTGGTTATGCTTTCTTCTTGTCTTTTAATTGGAATAAGAGAAATATAAAAGAAAAACCGAGGCTTATGAAGGAAGAAGATATCCAAATTTAACCTTTAACCTTCTAATATAATAAGACATGATCCTAATTCAAGGAGTCAACATGAAGCGAAAGTTGACTCATATTGAACAACGAAGCCGGGGACAGTTTAGGGAATCAAATTAGAGATACCCAAATGAAAGAGCAGTAAATAGCTTGACAAGGAAAGGTTTTATCTTGATACTTTGTGCATTCCATCTAAAGCAAACACAGCAAGAAGCAACGGAAATACATTTTTGGTAAGGTTTTTATCATGACTAAGGGTCTATATGCCACCATCTTTCACAGCTTATAAAACCCAGGCTCTTCCATCAGTATGACCGCCTTACCAATAGTTGAAACTAAATGGCGAGATGTTCAGTATATATAACAAATAAGCCACAAAAAGAAAGAGGCACGAGTAACACATTTAAGAAGCAAGGCTTACCAATTACTCCTACAAGAGAAATATTGTCAAGTGCTAAATGAAGCAGATTCTATATCAGAACCACCAACATGACAAACATGAAGGCACCAAATTCTCTCAGCCACATCACCTGGAAGTGTTGAACATAAATCAGTACTTAAGAGTAGCATCCCCCAAATAGAAAGAGATTAACGTCTAACATGAAATAAACTATGAGAAGCCAAATAGCAGAAACAAGAAATTTTATTATATAGTCTCTGAAAACCCACTATCCATAGAGAAACTATTTAATCCCCGATAAGGTATCAACAACCAGTTGTTGTTCACTAGCAAAATTCTTTTACACTTGGTCCCTCAGTGATCTCATCTTAAATGATGTCACGGACAAATCAGCCTCAAAAGAAAGCTGCTGACAGGTCCAGCTTCTAAACCAGTATTAGAAGGGTATTCATATTATCCTAATGGCAGGAAACAACTGAGAAATCCCACCAAGAAGGTACGTAATATTACCTACAGCTAGGTGTAACTGAAACAAGAAAGGTTGCTTATGCCTGAAGACTTTTATCTACTTAAATATAGCTAGAATGAATATTTGATTTCCAATCTACCCACCCGTTTTCCAGCGTTCCTTCCACAATCTGGTAACTATATATTTAAAAGAGAAAATTGTTCCCCAAGGTCTAATAATAAAACCTGAACTTCTGGTTATGTGAAAGATATTAACTCAATATTTCACACAAAGGCCTTCAAGAAGTAGATAAAATAGTGTCTGAAACATTCCAATGCATAGTTTTGCAAGATACTGCCATAGTCCATCAATTTATATATAACATTAGTACAGAATTACAGGAAGGAAGATAGCAAGAAATCATAGCAAACCCACATTCTTTATGCTCCTTCCTTTCGGTAGTACTATTATAGGATCTGCATAAAAGAAAAGCAAGGAAGAATAATCAGCAGAACAAAGCTCTTAGCCAAGATAAGAAGTTGAGGTATAAGATATTCAATATTTAAAAACTGAAAAATCAGTATAACCAAATGAGGCATGCCACATGAAAGAAATTACGTACCTAGTCAACGAAAAATCTCCTATAACTTGAGCATCAAGCTCCGTCAGATATTTTCTGAACAAATTTGACCTGCATTAATTGAACCAGCTATTCGTTGATAACCTCCGAAAAAATATAAAGTCTGTAAGCTCAGCGGTGTAAAAGAATTGATCACATGAGAACCCAACAGGTAACAGCATATAATTTGACAGGTATACCAGGACGGAATTGCAAATGCTGCTAGGACTGGAGATAGTTCCCACAAGAGATATAGCCGATTGTGTAAGAAAACTTCAAGGTACTCTATAATTCCTTTTACCTGTTATAACAAATATAGAAAAGAAAGAAAGGGACTATAAAACCATCCACAGGGAGAATAATAGCGTAAGAATGCTCATTATGTGCAAACTTGACCATAAAGGCATGCCAAAGATAAATGCACACTTTACATATAGTTTAATAAAAGACAAAGATTCTAAGATCTAGAGAAAAATTTAGATACACCACATGTTAGAGCAGTAAAAGTTGAATATCTCAAGGTGAACATTCATGTTCTCGCCTGTTTGCAATTTTGCAGATGCTACTTTTACAGGGTACAGTTTCCAGAGAAAATATCAGTGATAAACTTAAAAAGAATAATAAAAAAAATGAATAAAATCAAAGAGGACATAAAACTTGCTCATTAAAAGAGGTGAAATGTTCATCTAACTAGAAATGTGTGATATGAAGACGAACCCAACAAATAAGTAGAACTTGCCTTACTTGGAATGTAAGACAATGATTTTTTGAGTACAGATAAATAGTTGATACAGCATAGCTTTGTTGTTTAACACAGTATAAATCAGACTTTCAGTTTCATTGTTCTCAAATGAATTTTATGTCTTGACAATGATATTTAAAATATAGATACATAGTTGGATAAAGTACAGATTTGTTGTTTAACACAGTATAAACTATACCTTTCAATTTCAGAGTTCTCAAATGATTTTATATCTTCTAACTAAATACAACCATGTCCCATACTGTTAGTATTTTAGTTTCCTCCCAAAAAGAATTATGTATATTAGGAAGTAAAGAAGCAAGGAAGTAAGAAAGTAAATTCATGTAATGGACAAAATATATCATTAACAAAAAAACAATATGATCTAACCTATATCTAGATCTATACAGCCGTGTAAAACACAGATGATGAACAAATAATACTATCAATTTCAGTTAACCATTGCAAGATGCATATTCATTGGCATGCATGTGCAGCTCTTGCTAATAGACAATGAAGGGATTTGATTACAAGAAAAAATTACCTTTGAGTTCATGATTTCCTCTCTACAGCAAAAGTTTCTACAACCACTCAGTACCAAGCTATGCACCTCATTGTATAGCCTCGAATTGGTGACGAACTCACAAGAGCTCAACATCAAACGGTCAATTAGAGAACTCCATCTGTCTGCTACACATCCTAGTAACAAGAGCTCCTGCAGAAGTTGGGTTTCAACAAACAAAACTAGTCATATATCAGTATAAAATACATGCATTCCCCTCAAAGAAGATCCAGCTACATATCAGGAAATCCCATACTCTGAGTAGCCCAACCAATCAACTTAGTTATCGTCCAAAAGAATTTGAAGCAGCAATCAGTGTAACTATTCAAATTGAACTGATAATTTTAAGATATCAAAGAGAACGATCCCATATACCACAAAAGATTATTCCAGTGTAGTACTTGAAAAACAGATGTTGGCTAAAAGGGCATATGCTTCAAAACAACAAAATCAAATGATGCAGCTTCAGCAGTTTGCTGCGTCAAGGTAAAAATGGTCCAGTTGTACAGTTTAAATAGCCTATATCAATCAATCCATCAATTCCACCTCAATCCAATACTACTGTAGGTTGGCTATATAAATTATCTATATACTTTCCACTCTATTTGAGAAAAATTCATTCCACTAGGAGTAACTAATTTGTCATTTTGTCTTTCAGGGCAAATTACTTTTCTAAAATCTCGCCATAATCCCTTACCGGCATACGCTCCTAACAAACAACTAAGCCTTAATACCAACTAGTTGGTATCGCTTACATTGATCCTTTCCTTCTACTGTATAAGAGATTGTAATCTTTTGAAACAATTTCCTTCCCTGTGATTTTTGCTTTGGAATAGCTTATGTACCAGGAAAAGAAAATAAGAAAAATCTAGAATAACTACCCCTCAGTACTCCCTCCCTTTCAATTTATATAACACTATTTCCGTTTTTCTTACCATTTCGTGAATAATATTATGTTATACAACTTTCAGGACTTTCAAGAATTCAACTATTAAGATTTTAAATTTTGATGTGATATTTCCTTTATTAAACTAACTTTTCAATCGTTATTGTACAATAAAAGGGCAGCCCGGTGCACTAAACTCTCGCTATGCGCGGGGTTCGGGGAAAGGCTGGACCACAAGGGTCTATTGTACGCAGTCTTACCCTATATTTCTGCAAGAAGCTATTTCCACGGCTCCAACACGTGACATCCTGGTCACATGGCAGCAACTTTACCAGTTACGCCAAAGCTCCCCTTCCACGGATACAATACACATGTCAAATTAATATCTCAAATTTGTGCCCAATCAAACATCACCATACAAATTGAAACAAAGTAGTAAAATACTCAAAAACTTTCATGTATTGTATAAATGTAGAAAGAAGCCTCAGCCAAATTGATGATGTCAATTAGAACTAACCAAACTGCTAATCCACTACAGAAAAAATTTACTTTCCATTTTTTAATCTTGTCTATAGCTGAAATGATTAAACGGGTTATTAGTATCTAACTAAATTCCCCTCCCCAACATTCAAGAGAGAAAATCCCAAAAAAAAACCTTCAGAAGGTGTTCCACTCCCAAAAAACCATGATTTGACTGCACTTCCACTATATCAAGTGCACTTGAACTGTTAGATAATCATAGCAATTACATCACCATGTCCATAACTATTACAGACATTTTCACCTCATACAGCTCCTTAGATGTCAGAAATCAATCTATGACTTTTCTTATTCTTTATCTTGATATGTTTGTCAAATAGACAGATCTATCCTAAACCTATCGGATCTCACTTTTTCACTTGAATTTACAAAAAAAGACAATTATGTATGCATTACTTGCAACTGAATATCAGAATCTTTATTTGCATTATGTAACTTCAAAAGAGGCCATAGACATATTAATCATCATCAAGAAAGATCACCCGTTGGAATTTCATGATTATAAGGATGATACATACATCATCTAAAATTGTCAGGGTTCAAGTGAATTTGTATATTTCTAACCAATAACTTGCTTACGCCTTTTCATTCATTGGCTAATTTGCAAGATTCATATGATTGGCTGGTTATATTTGTAAGATATTGGCAAAGTTCAATTTGTGATTAATTGAGATCCAAGAATGAGGCAGTATAATTGTAAACCTTAAAGAAAAGAAACTGCAATCCAAAAGAAATTGAACCAGAGTAATCCTTTGAAAAAGATAGCTAAATTGACTTACAACTATTTCGCAAAAACTATCCTCAGTTTGAGATGATAGATTTATCCGCTGAAACACTTGAATCCATTGGCTCTTTGGGGCAGAAAACAGCAGGCTGGCACCTGAGACCAGTCTAATAGTTCTCTTGTCAAGCAAATATGTGAGGTTCCTCGATTTCCATGAATTCCAGGCCACAGAATCAATTGGTCTTTCTTCAGTCCTTGGGGCATTAACAAGAAAAGACTTTATTTTCTGCTGCACTACAATGACGTTTCATATTTTTGATAAGGTAAGTAATTTTATTAATAATGGGAAAAGCTACCGCATACGATATACCAAAAAAGTAGAGGAACTACATCAAAACAGGATTCTCTACAAGACACCCAGTCATCTATACATGATCAAGAGAACAAATCAGATTTTGTGACAATGGCAGTAATCAAGCTTCTTACATACTACTGCCACTCCACTGTATTCTTTAGTATTAAAGCTCATATTTACAGTTTAAGAGGTTAAATCTTTAGCCTCTCCGACCAACTATAGAGAAGTAGCATTAAAATGAGATCATGTTAGACATCATCAAATAAAAAGTATGATTAATGTGCGGTTAAATTGATATATGGTTTACTGAATTTGAACTATCATGTATGATTTGCTATTCCAAAAGGGTACTGCAAATAGTTGTGAATGCAAATGCTACTGGACTAAGAAATTCCACAAGGTATCCACTACCTTCCACTCCACAGCAGGTACCGGGTAACTCTGTCCATCAAGGCTTAGACAAATGGGAAGAAATCACCTAGTATTTTTTACCTTTGCTGGGATTTGAACATGAGACCTCGTGGTTCTCAACCCAATTCATTGACCACTAGGCCACACCTTTGGGTGCAAGAAATAAGGATTTTATATTATAGCCAAGAAGTCGGAGCTGTTATAGTGATTTTTCGTCATACAGAATCCAGATTGTTTATAGAAATGTGAGCAACACGCTCCTTTTCAGTAAGGTGCGTAGAATGGTGTTTTATTTAACTTCAAAGGTTTTGGGGTTTGAAAATTGTCCTATGTTGCGAAAGAAAACCCCAAATAAGACAGAACAACAAGATAAGAAACTACTCCAGCTCTGCCATGATTTAGAAGAAGCTCTGACGTTCTATTTTCATTTCTTTGAAAAAGACACATATGCTTATAGAATTCATGAGGCTTACACACAAAATGCCGACCTGAAAAATGGCCTTCAAGACTCAAGTTAGTTAAAAAGACAGAGAGTCTACCTAACTTACATGAAATTTGTTGTATGCTTCACTTTTACATTCAAGGCATTGTTGTCCTCCCTGTCATATAGATCTCTTAAGCCACTAGACAAAACATCCAAGCCTGTCTCTGCTGAAGATATCAATGAAACTGTTAGTTGTCTCCTTTGAAGCGCTTGTGCAGTGAAGAGAGAAAACCCACAGCTGATTGAATCATCAGCTTGTCCACTTGGAGAAGAATTTGGCGACGAGTTTATGGATTCCTCCATTAGAAAATTTCTCTCATTAATAAAATGATTCCTAGATGTATTACACATCAAGGTTCCAAAATATCCATTGAGGGATCTACCATCTGTCTTCTGGTGCATGTGATAATCCATCTCAACGTTTGCAGTCAGTATAGCTTTGAGGTGTTCATCCCTCAGTGGGAAGGCACTGATGAGATGTTCTAACATGAAATCCCTCGCTTTACTAAGGACCTTCGATGAAACATGTGCTATACCCTGTTAAAAATATTAAGCTATGAAAGCCTTTCCTCTTTTCAGAATTATTAAGTCGCAAGAGAAAATAATGTAAACTGATGGAACGAAGATAGGAGATGCAGAAAGCATAAAAAACAAACTAAAAGATAATTTATCAGGGACATGTATGAAATCCACTACCTGGGGGAAACTTGGATGAGATGCCATTTCACATAAAGCTGTATCAAGCTCCTCCAAAGAGTCTCTATAGTCATCTGAGCTACTCAGGTCCCTCATCACCTGTACCAAAGGTAGAACGACGCGATTAGATTGAAGAAAGCTACCAAACTCTATATATAAACTGTCCTCCAAGAAGGTAACATGGATGCGGGGAAAAAAACAAAAGTAGACATCTCAATGACCAATCCAACGCATCAATATTTTCCACCAAAATAGCAAAAATAAGCATTTCGTGATCTAAGATCAAACATTAGCACCAAAAAAACACATCTATAATTTTCATGGAACAAACTGCAACTGAGGAACTGTCTCTTCATTTCTTTACATAATTGAGACAGTTATCCTTGAAAACAAATATAAAAAAAAAGGTAGAGCCAACAGCAATGTTAACTATTGATGACGACTGCATAATAGGAGAATATAAATCAACCAATCAATTACACTGCAATCCCAAACTAGTTGGAGCCGACCATATGAATCCTCTCTCTATCCATTCCACCCTTACATTACTCCAACCCTCCTCCTTTATCTGATTCTGAGCTTAGAACCAACTATGGGCTTTTTCACATGCGAAGTTAACATAAAAACTGTTTCAATTTTTAGATCCAATCATACTCCCTTTTTCCATTTTATATGGCATTAATTCCTTATTAGTTTGTTCGAAAAGGAATTGCACCTTTCTATATTTGGAAACAATATAACTTTAAACTTCTTTGTTTACATTAATGGCATGCTTTTACAACCATAGAAATCTCAAAAAAAAATATATGTTTCTTTCTTAAACTACATGCTCAGTCCATAAATTGGAATAGAGGGAGTAACAAATAAGTGCAGAACATCAACTTCAAGAATTTAGCAGACATGTTAAAAGCAATTTTACCGCAGTTATAACAAAACAGAGTAAAATGAACTAAAATTCTGGACTTTGTAACGTTTGATTAAAGAGGGGCGAGGCACTGACATCCTGGAGAAAGAGAGCCCATTGAAGCGCTTTATTGATGTTAAGGAAATCCCAGTGAGCAATACGACCAGATGATTGATACCCAGAAGCAAGATTCACCATTTCTATGAACCCTTTCACCGCTTTCAGCAAATCTTCAAGGGACAAATCTGGGTATGACCAACCCGCCATTTTCCCAGCCGATACTTTTCCCGCCTTATTCAGTGAGGCGGATGTACTTTGAAATGGAAGTGGATGCAGTTTTCCCTCAATTAACCATGTAATTAAATGTTTGTACTCGGGGCGGTGGCGGACCCATCCTTAGATTTATTGGAGCATAAATTTTACATATAAAAAATTAATAAAACTATAACAAATAATAAATGTAAGCTCATAACTAAAATTATAAATGCTAAAAAGTAATCAAATCATTATTTTCGTTTTTCAACTATCTTTACATCTTGCAGCCTACCGTATTTTGGAGGGTTGTTACCCATCGTATCGTATTTTATTGTTATTGCAAAATAATGTTTGTTTTGATTGTTTATTTAAAACTGATTGTATCATATTGTTAAATGCGTTGTTCCGGAATAACCAAAAGCCTCAGTTTATGAAATAATCAATTTGGTGTGGTGGGATCATTTCCTATTTTCTTTTTCAATTGTGCCCTTACTTATTACTCCATAATTCTATTTTATCATTTAATTTTTTTTTATTTTAACTCCAAATCTCCAACCTATTGACCACTACTTTGTCTTCTTCCATCTTTTCTAGAGTTGGTTTGCCCCGTTTTTTTATCCGTGCTTTCCACTCTTTGTCTCTATCCATCGTTTTATTTGTTTTTTCTTTTTTTTGCTAATATAAGTTAACCTTTTTTTTCAGTTTTTTTGTTTCCAAGCTAGGTAATTAATGATAAATTAGTGGAAAGATGTTTTCTTAAATTATTTTTTTGTGTAACTCTTGATAGATTTTATTTAAAATAATTGGGGGTATTTTAATGAACTTATCAGTTGCAGTACAGTACGATACAGTCAAATCAAACGACAAAAATATTATTTAACAACAGCAAACGATACAATCTATTCAAACATGGTATCTATAAAATGATACAATGCAATACAATACATTATAAAACGATGGGAAACATTGATCCAAACATAGTGTTAGAAGTTAGAGGTCGTAAAGCAGAGGCGGATCCAGGATTTGAGCATGACGGGGGCACCACTGTATGCTAATAACTAATGATAAAATTCGGCGTACAGCTCTTTTAAAACTTAAGGATTTTGATGAGTATCTTCCAAGTATAAGCAAAATGAAGTTCTAAAGAAAGAGAAAGCATCGAATATAGAGGGATATTTCTTCTCAAAATGGGTGCTACGGGAAGGAAAGATGTTTGGTTTAAGCATGTTTTGAAATTTAAAGTTTCTAATTTTTTTTTTAAATAAAAAGTGGCCAGTGATCAAAAGGGTATTCAAACTTCAAAAATTATCAAAAAACTTACTAAAGAAATCAAGATTAAAGGTTTGCTAATAGTCGAAGAACTAAAGAAGAATCTTTAACTCTTAGTTCTTATTACCGAGTCGGAGTTGACAGATATATGCTACTTTGTCAAAGTAATTGTTGAAGAAGGTTGTGGCAGAAAGATTAGTATTTTTCTATTTGTGGAGCGATAAGTTGCAACTTGAGGCTTTTAATTTTAAGGGAGGGATTTAAAAAAGAACAAAATTAATTAAGTTGACCATTATGTATTAGTACTAAACTATAACTTTTTTTTTTAAAAGAGAGACAAAAGTAAAAAATAAAGCATATTGTTATCGAGTATAAATTATATTAGATATAAAGAAGTAAAGTATTAATTATGTTGAATTGAAAGAAGTAAAACAGAAAGGAGGTGAAAAAGTTAAAGAAGGGTTTCGAACCCAGGTCATACAGGAAGAACCCAGCTCTTCCATCCACCTTTTCAAATTTGGGGGCACAAACAAAACTTTTAAGGGGTCCCAGCAGTAAAATATATATATATATATATATATATATATATA